GTATATATATATATGTGTGTGTGTGTGTGTGTGTGTGTGTGTGTGACTGTGACTGAATGAGTGAACGTGTTTGCGTGAGTGAGTGTAGAAAAGACCTCTGAGCTTGCATTGTGATAAAGGGGTCTTTTTAACTTGAAAAAAATATAGGAAAAAAGAGAAAACATACACTGGAAGTCAATAAGTCAATAGTATATATTTTTAATCTCTATTCTCTAGAACAACGTGAGACTGTTAAATGGGCATGAAGCCTGGCATTAGGAATTTTGGGCTATAAACTTATATATGTGGGTATGGGGTGGGGATATCTCAAGGGGACACACTGAGACAATGGTCGAATGCCATAGATTCTATTTAAAAGATTATGCCTTGTAAATTAATCCTCAATTGTTTCTGGTTGTAGGACTGAGGTTAAATGCTGCTGTTGACTTGAGACATTGAAGACAAGCGGCATTGATTTCTTTCTGGTAGTTGTGTCAGTTCCAAGCCCCCCACTCCTTTTCATTACACTTCTCAAGCCTTCATGGATCATGATGTTGTAGTGCCCCTGCACTAGATCAGTGGTTCCCTATTAGTCTTGGGTGGGACCACAGGAGTCTCACACTGGGCCAGAAATCTAGGGATTATGATTCAATTGAACAGTTTGTCAGACTATTGATAGGATAGGTTTTAGGCAGTATGAAAGTACATACTCTAACATGGTTTCTGTCTACCTCAAATGGCTTCAGCTTATACACCCAGTATGACATTGTGGTTTTAAACTAGCCCTAAGATCTAAAGATTGTTTGTTTATTGCATCTTTCATTTCTAATTTATGTTTAAGTACACTAGAAAGCGCCACCCTTTTACAATCAGCTGAGCCTGTCAAGTGGTAGAGGCCAGCAAAGACATCAAAAATGTTGCACATGCAAACTTTAATGCGGTTCAGTATTATGATGAGTACATAGCAGTTAAACACTTATCGCAGTTTTGCTGATGAACTATTTACCACATTGCTTTTTGCACTATATTTCACAGAGCTTTCTGCACAGCACCGTGGCTGCAGGCTGGAGTTTTGATTTATTTCTTGCTAGTTAGTTTTGACAACACATTTTTAAACACTAAATCTGCATCTGTTTGATGTATGGGGGCAGAATGGGAGGTAGTTATGCTAATAAACTAAAGTAATGAATTAAACTGCATATTTTAAGGGGTAGATATATTCTGCTTACATTTGAAACTGAGGACCATACATTTAGTGTTTACCTTTAGTAATTAGACTTTAATTTTCATTGTAATCTCAATTGTAATATTTTATATCACAGTTGATCGTCACCAAGGGCTAATTTTAAATCACATTGCATTAAACAAAAAAGTCTGAGTCTGGGTTATTTTGACAGACTGCTTAGGCTGTTGTAGCCTTTATGTTCTGTCAGGAGTAACCTCTAAATGCCTTAAACTCATTCAGCTGTCTTATCCTAGTGTATTTAAGCTTTTGATGTTGTTGTTCTCACCCTGTTTTGTCTTTAACCAGCCTGTAGGTTTAAAATGAACATGTGGTTAACAGGCTGGAAAATGAAGTTCACTTCTCTGATGGTGAATTCAAATTACACCTAAGAGTATGGAGTATGTGTTGAATACAGAACATACCTACCATGTATATTAACATAAATATGCAGCAATGAACACATTGTACATCTGTAAACATTGTAGATGTTTTGCTTGGAAACAGGTTTGGTATATATTTTGTTTGCGTAGAGATATTACCTTAACACATTGGTTTCAGAAAGTGACATCTGATTTCATTCTTTTCATTCCTTCCCTTCAAAATTGAAAATTGTCTTTTGTGTCTTTATCATATTAAAGAAGGGATCTTTTGATACCAATTAGATGTAGTTTTAGCGGTTCTTTGAAAGATGTTCTTGTGCTAATTTGGGTATCAAAAAAAAAAAGAAGTCTTGAGTGCCCTTATGGGAGGTGTGCAATTTTTCTGTTTCCATCAAAGAAGACTTTCTAGATATTTATCATAGCTATATTTCAGTTATTCAATTCAAATCATACCAGCAACAAAGACAACTTTCAGATGTATTGAGCCATGTTGAGTGATCATATTGCCAAATGAAGAACAAATATCTTACCGGAGGAGAAAGCAAAATTATGTGGCTTGCCTGGATGTACAGTTAATGTAACATAAATCTGTGATTTTGCTAAAGTTTAGCTTCGTGTCTGTAGATGTTGGCCTCTTTAAGAAGCCTAGAGAGAACACCCCCCCCCCCCCTCCCATCAACATAGATACCTACTCACACACCATCGGATGTGTCACTTGAAACAGTGGACTGATAACTTGTGTAGGTCACTACAAAGGGCTAAACAGTCTGCAGGGCTGCTGCTAAGTTTGTGGGCACTGTTTTAATGAGAAACTGACAGATCAATATCTAATGTGGGGCTTACTGATGTTGGGAAAACAAATGTCATGGAACACTGAGCCATTTTAACATGATTGGTTTATCCCACACTTGAAACACTCAAGTCATTGTGGAAGTGAATGCTCCCCTTTACCTCTGTGTGGTTATCTTACTGATATTAGCAGTCTTGGTGTAGTTAGGCAGCCTCTACCCATTTCCCTAACCTTCCTCTTGGCATGCTCTGTACAAGGCCCATACCCATACCCACACCCCACCCCACCTACCTTGGCACTGAGGATCATCGCACAATGTATTTGAAGGGGTATGGACCTTGTGATCAATATGTGGGCTTACATGGGGTGGAATGGGAAAATAGCCAAAAATTGTTAATTGGTGAATATATAAAGAGAAATGAAATGAAGCAAAAGGTAAATGAGATTTTATAAATTAATTTAAAGAATAAAGTTCTGAAAAACAAAGTTTCCTATCTTGAATTTTTTTATTACTCTGTTTTTGGTTGATTGAAATTGAGTTTGTACTGTCAAATCTGTACACATAATTCATTGTTTTTGAACTACTGTAAGCACTTTTGACAATCTGAATTTGCAACTATTGGATTTGCTAAATTGTCATTTTGTTCAGTGTAATGTTAAGAAAAAGGCCAGAGTTTAGGACTCAACATCTCAGCCTTTTTAATCTGACGTGTCGGTACTGGGGGAAAAAAAGATAATTACGGCTCTTTTTTTACTCATACCTACTCGACTTGACTCGGGTTTGGTCGCTCTCATGGCTCATTGAGTGACACCACTTTCCAGATAATTGGTGGTATGCAGTCTGTTGAGATCACATTTTTGATTAACTCTGATCAACCGAGTTGGTAATGAAGAAGTACAAGGTACTACCACACAATGGAAAACTATAAAATCCTAGCCAAGTCAACTGGGTGCTAGTGGAAAAGGCCTATAGCTGTCGATGTAGGTAAGAGCCCTTTAAAGTAAGATCCATATCAGACCCTTGTACCGCTCTTTTTTAAAATCTGTTTTTTTCCATAGGTTTACAGGTTTGATGTTCCTAGTCTTTCCCTTCAACTTGTAAAGGAAAGCCTTAGTCATAATCATCTATTGTTGTTGTTTTATGTTGTTGTGCAGTCCTTTTGTGTCATTGTAAATTTCTTTCTTCTCCTTTTCTTGCAGCCAGACTCAGATGCTGTTGGCTGGTCCAAATGATTAATCTTCTGTGCTGAATCAGGCTTTTAGGGCCAATTATGTCTCCCCCTAATACTGAAGAAAGACCCTACTTAAGGTCCATGGAAGTTTGAAGTTTTTCCTCCGATAACTCCACTGACCTCTCCCCTGATTGTCCATGAGCCCACCACACAAACATGTTGTTTCTTAATAGGCTGGTTATACCTGATGATTATTTGAGTGGTTTCACACTTACCAGGAAACAAATACAAAAGCAAAACCCACAAACTCAAAACTTTTTTTTCCTTTTGAATTCTCACAGGCCTCCAATTAGTAACTATGTTTTACTGCCTTAAGGCATAGTGCACTTACATAGGTTTTTATCATTTATATCAAGTACATAGAGTTTACAAGAAACAGATAAAAATAAAACTGTCCTCTGTCCTCCACTAGATGGCATTGTATTACTATATTATGACTGCGTGCTGTTTGCATTGTCTGTGAATTTTGCGGGTTCTCCCACAGTACATGTAGGAGACATATATACAAGATTCTTTATTGATTCTAAATTGGCTGTTAGACTGTGAGCGTGAATGGTTGTCTGTCACTCTGTGTTAGCCCTGTAAGGGACTGGTGACTTATCCAAGGTATCCCACGCATCTCGCTCAACATCAGCTGACACAGTTTCCAGTGCCTCAGTGACCCTGAACTGGATGAGCAGTGAAGAAAATGGATGGGTGGACGAATGATGCGAGTATAACAATTAGTAAAGTCAACATTCCTTAAACTGTAGTTGCACAAACACTTCTGCACGAACAGAACCCTTCATTATTTACACTAAATTAAGCATCATTACTAGTAATATATTTCACACCTTATTTCACAAACTAACTGGCTGTTTTAAATGGGCCCCTTGCCAAGTTTTCTGCGACATGGTCCGCTAATAAGCTCTCCTCATGACTCAGTGATATCACAGTTAAACCAGCTGATATTCACATTTACAAATGCTAAATTAAACTAAAATAAAAACCTCAATAAAAAAACACTTTCTGTCTGTCATTTTTATTTAATTTTTTTATTTTAATTTTTTTTTTTTACAAATTTTCTTTGGTGAAATTCACCCTCATAAAGCAGCTTGTTACTGTGATCATATAACATTCTATTATAGCTCTGCTAAAAGTATCAGAGGAAGGTAACAGTTACAATTATGTAGTTACTTGTAATACAAATATTCTTCTTTTATCTGCACAGTCGACAGATAGAAACACTGTCTGCTGTCATCTTTGTGTTCACACTTAAGACTAGGAGAAAGACCCAGAGTGTGTGTCCTCATTAGGATTAGGATTAATGTTGTGTGTGGGAC